AAATCAAGTTCTAATATTGTAGAAATTTTGAATATATGAATTGGATATATATAAAAATAAATTAATTAATTAATTAATTAAATTTTCAGTAACAAGATATTTAAATTCTTCAATTTTTTAAAATATCATTCTTATGTAGAATTTTAATACCTTGATTATTAAATTTTCTTCTAACTTATATTTGTATTACTTATTTAATGAAAAAATGTTATAAATTATGATTTTTTTTATTACTACAAAGAATATTTATAATATCTCTAAAAATATATTTGATACAAAAATACCCATATAAAAATTTAAAAATTGAAGTGATGAAAAGCAAGAACTTCTTATTTCACTAAAACTTTTGTTGTCTAAAATGTTGCAAAATAACCTCTCTAATTATAAACCAAAATAATTAATCAAAAAATATTAAAATTTCTACATTAATGGTGCATCTAATATACTTAAAAATATAATTATAATATAAAATTATTTCATTTAAATAATAATTTTACATCAATATCTATCTAAAATAATTAATAATAATAATTATATGATATAAAAAGAAATAATTTTAACCTTTTAATTTGAATCAATTTCTATTATTATTATTTTTATATATTTTATTATAATAATAATTAATTATATTAATTTTTCTAATGTTTTTTAAATTGATCTATGTTTAATTTTCACATTTGTGTATATTTATACTCCATTTTTATTTTAACAATCTTTCTATCTATGTCTTGTAGTTGATCATATATTCTTATTATCCCATCTTTGTCTACTTTTACCAGAAATTATTAAATCAATGTATCTCATATAAATTCCACATCTTATTTTAATATATTTTTACTATTGATCCATAATTACAATGTTTTTTATTTTTATTTTTAAATATGCCTTATGGAAAAAAATTATTACAAAAGAAACAACATATGTTCAAAAAATTATTTCTCTCTTCAACTTTTAAATTGCTAAAAATTACTCTTAATATGTTTCAAATCTTATAGGCACTATTTTTTTATATTTCCATCAAGCTTACTTTTTTTTTTTTTTTTTTTTTTTTTTGGAAATGCTCTTATATATTTTATATTCAATAGTAAGTGATTGCAAGTCCTTGCAATTTTTTTTCCAACCTTAATAATTTCATCAAACAAAGTTTTTTAATATCTACAAATATGAGTAATAAATAACTTTAAACATGTTTCTTTATCTAATTCTATTATATATATTTAAAAAAAATTTACCACAAAGCTCCATTCCTTGCCAATCTTAAGTTGTTGCAATTACTATACTACCATTGCTAGCAAATATATCATCTATAAGCACAATATTCTCAAGTTAACTTTGATTTTTCATCTTTTTACAAACAATCGTGGTTTTGTCCTTCCTTTACATCTCTTAGTTTTGACTTGACTTTAAAATGTTCTAAAATATTAAATGAAGTTGTAAAGCAATCACCACCACTTTTAATGCACTCAACAAAGCATACAACATCATAAATGTCTTTTACATCATGTAATACAATCTTTGCTATTGAAGACTTCTTAAATCTATCCATTCCAACACAATACAATGTCTTTACTTTATTTGGATACTTTTATCTTATTTGTGATAAATATTATATTCTATCAATTTTTTTTTTGTTAGAAAAATCATCCTACAAATAGAAATACAACTATATTAAAAAAAAATGATTCACATGTTATATTTTAACCTAATTTTATCAACTAATCTTATAATAAGGTATCTAACCATTACTATAGTATAGAATAGTATATACAAATATAGAATAAAATAAATCAAAAATAATTAATACAAACTTACTATATTTTTTTGTATGAGTCTTGTAAGTGGCAATCTATTGCATATTTGTTGAAACTCTTTGTTTTGATGACAAATATGCTTTGATGCTCTGAAATATTGTGCATTTGCTATACCAATCCTAATTAAAAACTTCTTCATTAATAAGTTCAATCTTTCAAAAACATTTGCAAATATTAGTCAATGCAAAGGATTCAAAGTCTAACATCCTTAATTAAGCTCAATCAAATCATCACAATTTGAAGTTAAATTTGATCTTTTACCTTGTATAATTCTTTCTAATATTTCTTTTATTTCACAAACATCATAAAATAAATCTTTTTTGCAAGAATTTTAAAATACATCATTGCAAATGAATGAATATCAACATTAAAATTAAAATAAATAAAATTATTGTTATTTGAAATATAACCTTATTTGAAATGTAACCTTGTAATAAATCTGTCATCCAACATATATATTTTACTTCAGCTTGATTTTTATGCATAGTAATATTCTATAATATTTTTTTATTTTAAATATTGAATTTTTGACAGTGTTTTTAAATTTCATTTTTTCGAGTGAATAAATGATAAACATAAAAAATTAGTTCACTGTATAATTTAACATTAAATACATAAAGTTTTATTAAATTCAGTGAACTAACTCACTTTGTGTAGTGTTAATTTATTTATTTAAAGAAAAATAAAAAGAAAAAGAAATCAATCTATCAACGTAGATTTTTGACCTAGCACATTTCACTGTATGATTTTTTTTTGTTACGTTTCTTTGGTATTGCTTTTAACCTTATTGTCTTAGTTGCTGTGAGCACACCAAAAGGCAAATATCAGGTGTTGGATTTCGGTGCACAAAAGTTGTGCCACTGTTATTTTCACTTATAATAAAAAGAAGCAACGTGTTGAACATTTTGTCTAAAAAAACCTAAAACAAGTCCTACCATAACCCAGTGAAAAGCTCCTCGAAGGGGCGAACTGTGATCACTGGACAATTACTGTCATGTTTTTATGATAAAATTGATCAGAACATCCACTTAAACCATCCATTTATAAGAGCTAGTCATCCATCTTGAGTTCGACATAGTCCAGAACATTCTGAGATACTTTCATTCACAGTGCAAGGGATGTAGCTGGAGTTAGGGTTATAACTCTCAGTATATATAAACCCTAAATTCCACTTCTGAGTATCTGTCTCTTGCTGTGGCATTCCACTCCTGAGTATCTGTCTCTTGCTGTGGCATTCCACTCGTCCTACACTTGTTTTCAGATTCCAGGGTGTCCTTTGTTTTGTGAGTTATTGTTCTTGCTGTTTAGTGTCTCAAATTGTGTGGACTTGTAGCGGTTTCATGTTCAGCCGCTTCGTCTGAGTTTGTGGGTTTGTGGGTTTCGCTAGTGTTTAGAAACGTGTCCTTGTGGCTTGCACTAAGTTCTGCTACGTGCCGTAGCGCTTCTCAGAGGTGTCGAATGGCATATGTAGCTTTTATCTGTGCATAGATTACTGTGGCCTTTGCTTTTGTGCCCACCGCTTCCATGGTGTTTACATCAATGAGGGGTCAGATATTTTGTGTACTTCCTTCGTGAATTTTTATGAACTGTTATATGAGCTCTGTATGAGGAACTTGGAAATTGGAATGCATCCTTAAAAAGGTGTTATGCGGATCTGTGTATAACGCTTATACGCGGTTGCGATATTGAAATATGTCCCACCAATGGCACGAGGTTACGGTGTCTTCCCCGTATCTTTGTTTCGACTCTTGGGGGGAAAATGGCTCAAACCACTACTTTGAAAGTATCTAACTCTGTTCAGCTTGGTAGACGCGCACTTGTGAGTTCATGATTAAACTCGAGTTTCACAAGTAAATGGCGAATTTTTGGAAACAGTGATTGTGCACCAAAGAGATCTGAGTTCCAATCGAGGGCCGACTCACTATGTGAACAGAGATATGAACATCTTTACTGGAAGAGATCCACGGTTTAAGACAGTGAACTGGTCCCGAAGTCACTTTATACATTATCTCGTCACATGTCGAACTGCACCCTCGCTCTATAATTCTATCGCAGTCGATAGGAAGTGAATGGAGATCAGCTTCATGGAAACCTTCGCACAGAATGCAACTGCAGGGCCATTCTAAATTCCTGAACTGGAAGCGCGACTCTGATATCACGATATACCCGACTGCCGTCCGAAAACTCTGCACTAGACATCTCTAGCCCTAATAAACCTTGCCATCTCGTCCATGTCCAAGCATTCATTTGACCAGTTCTACAGTGTTATTCCAGTACATCGGCCAAGATCTGTAGAGGGTGCTTCCGCGTATTACTTGGAATTGTCAATAATAAAGTGTCATTCAGGGAAACAATTCCTTAGCAGAGTCATTGACCGAAAATGGTCACTGAACAAATTAACTCAATAGTTGCTGTTGAACTATATCTACTGCTCGTTTCCATCCGACATGTCTCAGGCTACCATAACATTTTTTCCTCTCAAATTACATTTTTCATTGTCAAACTTGACCTTTCCCCTCAACTTCAAAAGCACATAATATTCTCCGACTCATAAAACTGATAAAACCTTTTACGCCCATAAGCAATACCAACTTCATGTTTCTATTTTCATTATGGAAGACCAGTCGTAAAACACTGTGCTACCATTTAGTAACCACATATGCTCTAAGCACCCTATGAGACGTATATTTAGAAAATAAATAAATACTACGCTGATTCAAATTTTCTTTAAATTACCATTCAAACAATCATGTATTTAATTTCCGCGTACCGAAAAATATCAACATCCAGTCCGTCATCGAAGAAAATAAAAACACATCTTTGACACAGTAGCACAAATTCTGAAAGAACCGTTCCCATTCTCTCTAAAACTTACAAACAAACATACATTCACGTAGAATTTAATTTCAATCAACAGACCTCAGCATTAAAATTTATTACTTGACGAACACAACTATACCTTCGTGCTGAAGAGTATGTACCCAGTCACAAAAACCCTGTTGTGAAAGAAGGCATCAAGACCATAATTTTGAAAACAAAAATCATGATATTGAATGTTGAAAAAAATATTCTGCACGAGAGAAAATCGTGACAACGATGATGAATTTTGACACAAAATGTGGTTTTGAAACAACATAGATTCTCTTCTGCTAATTTTTAGCAATGTCAAAATTTCGCAACTGGATTTCGTACCACCAACCTGTTTAATGGAATTATTACATTTCCAGATGTGGTTTTGGGTTACAGGGATCTTAAGATTGTGTTTCCTGTTGCTGTCTTCATTGCGACTTGTCCTTGTGGCACTCTTTGCATCTCGTCTTCGCCTGAGATCTGCCCATGCGATCACCAGCATGCTCCGAGGCAGTTGTTGCACTGGTACCTCCAGCCTCAAGCACGCTCACCAGCTTCTACCCCCTGCCACCCAGTTGCTTCTTTGCTTTCTCCCCCTGTGGGTTGTGTTTTTCGCCTTGTGGCTCCTTTGAGGAGGGCGGTAGGGAGGGGTTGATGGACTAGAGAATGCATTCGGGGGCATTTTGGTGTTGGTGATGAAACTGCGTTACCGGATTTTTGCGGGGTTGGTGGCTATCTAGTTCCTGGTTGGAAAGTGGCATTTGAAACGTTGGGAATTTGAGAGGACGAGTGGAATCACTGTAGAGGATTGAGTGTCGTGTAGTTTGTGTAGCTTCGTGGGACTATGGACAATTCATTGCACAGTTTTGTTTTGTGTAGATCTCCCTCGATCACGTCACGCCAGAAGGTAAAAATCTGGAAGAGAAAATTTTATTCGTAGCTTCACTCACTCACGAGTGCATTGAGGTTAATCAATCTGGCCCTCATGGCCTGAAGCTAATATAGGTCTTCGCCACTTTGAGTCCGCAATTTGAGATTAACGAGTTTCTGTGCGCATTTTGGTCAATTCATACTGTCATTCTCGGCCTCCGATCCTGTAAAACCATAGTTAATTAAGAAACCCTAGTTATTTCTGCAGCAGAGGCAGGGTTTTGGCTTCCAGAGAACTAGAGGGATCCAAAACTGTTATGTTAGTGAGGGGTTCCTGAGGCTACAAGCTCATCTGACCAACAATGTGACACTAGTTGGGGAGGTATGGTTAACTGATTAAAGAGTTGAGAAATTACAGCTCAATCGGATGAGGAGTTCCAGCTAAATGTTGAATACGGGAGGGTTTATTTAATGTCATTCCAGTTGGAAACCATGGCAGAACTTGTGAGCAATGGGAACCTCCTGGAGCACCTTTTCCGGTGGAGTATGTTAACTCTGTGGGCGATTTTCTCTCTTACCTCTATGGTCATAGCGGAGAGCATTCCCACGGATTTTCTGGATGTGCATGGCACCCTGAAGAGTCCCTGGCGCATGCACACCCTGTTCTCCGTGGAATGTCATGTGTATTTCGACTGGCAGACAGTGGGCATTATGCACAGCTTTAGAAAAAGCAGACAGCCGGGTCCTATGACGCGTCTGCTCAGCTGCACCGATGAACAATTAGCGAGCTACCGTGGAATGGACTTGGCCCCTACCCATAAAGTTCCTTCCATGAGCAGACATCCTGTCACTGGAGACTGGTATGTGAAATCTCTACTTATCTATATACCTGGTATATATATATATATATATATATATATATATATATACATATGTTTATTTTCTGCGAGTAACGTTTATCATGTGAGGAATGATTCATTTAGCTGTCGTGGATATTTCAACAGGTACCCAGCGATTAACAAACCTGCAGGTGTGGTTCACTGGCTCAACAACAACAAAGATGCCGAAAATGTTGATTGGGTACTTATTCTAGACGCAGATCAAATCATTCGGCACCCGATCACTCCTTGGGCCCTTGGCGCTGAGAAGGGTAAACCAGTTGCAGCTCGATATGGGTAAGCATCTGCATCAACCCACTCCACATATGAATTCTCCATTCTAAGCTATTCGGCGATTTTCAAGAGGCTTTGATCGTCCGATTTAGTTGAATTTGCATAATTACTGCAGGTATCTAATAGGATGTGACAACGAGCTTGCTAAGCTGCATACAAAGCATCCAGATCTATGTGACAAAGTCGGAGGATTTATCTTAATGCACATAGACGACTTGCGCAAGTTTGCCCCACTCTGGCTCTCAAAAACCGAGGAGGTGCGGAGTGATCGAGACCACTGGGGAAAGAACTTTACTGGCGATATTTATGGCTATGGCTGGATCAGTGAAATGTATGGGTACTCTTTTGGAGCCGCTGAGGTACAATTATTTCTGTGAGAATTCATGTCTGGCTTTTTACTATGCTCTTTTTGTGAGATTGTTTTTGTATTGCATGCTTTTGAAATGTGCTTGGGAAAGCCCTCAAAATAGCGGCAAATGATCATTGCGTAATTACAAGCTCAATCTCAACATCTACGATGTGAGTTGTATAAACAGGTGGGATTACGTCATAAGATCGATGATGAAGTGATGATTTACCCAGGCTACATACCAGTACCGAATGTAGAGCCTTTGTTGATGCACTACGGACTCCCATTCAAAGTTGGGTCCTGGGAATTCGCTAAGCTGGATCATCACGATGACGACCTCGTTCATGAATGCAACCGTCTATTTGCAGCTCCTCCTTATCCTCATGAGGTAAACCCTATTTATATCAAAATGAAAAGCAGAGGTGAATTGACATTAGAGATTCTGCAACAGATTCTTTGTAGAGTCCTGTAACTAAGCCCGTTATATTCCTAATGAAGGAATGAAAATTGCAACACATTAGAACTGAGTATTTCCGACGTTTTATGCTAGGAGTAAGGGTGGCCCTATTAGCAGAAATGGTGTTAGGACTGAAGGTGTCTGTTATATGGTTCAGGTAGAAAAAACGCAGCATGATCGGAATCAGCTGCGAGCTGATCTCTTGAGTATTGAGTGCATGAACACGATTAACGAAGGGCTTCTCATCCATCATGAGAGTCATGGGTGTCTTAAAATTGAGGAAACAAACTACATCAAATTTTTGAGGCAAAATGCACATGAGGAAGCTCACAGATTACCGCAAGAAGAAAAACCTGCTAAGACTCTCCTCGATCCTCGTATACACACTCTCTTCTCTGCAGAGTGTACTTCATTTTTCGATTGGCAAACAGTTGGGCTAATGCACAGTTTCAAACAGAGTCAGCAGCCAGGGTTGATCACTCGGTTGCTGAGTTGCACAGATGAGAACCTCAAGACTTATAAAGGCATGAACCTGGCACCTACACATGTAGTTCCCTCTATGAGCCTCCATCCTCTTACTGGCGACTGGTGAGAAAACATTGAATGAACTACATACCACTTTCTTTAGATTTATTTTGTAGGTTCTATGTGCAAGGTTTCTATCTGGACCTTTTTCAGGTCCATGGTTATTAGTATTAGAATCTGGGAGATATTTGTTTTTTTCCAAATGGTGGAACTGAGTAGGTCTTGGATGTAATTCTGCTTCCAATGTCAGTTTTCTCTCGGGAACTATTTATATGATACTTACTTGATGATTTTAGGTATCCAGCTATCAACAAGCCAGCGGCTGTGCTTCATTGGTTGAGCCATGTACAAATTGATGCAGAGTTTATTATAATTCTTGATCCGGATATGATAATGAGGGGTCCTATTATCCCTTGGAAATATGGTGCAGTGAAAGGCCTTGCCGTTGCAGCCCCATATGAGTAAGTTCCACTTCTACTATGATTATCTTAGCTTTTTCTCCAATCTTTTAACGCCCAGCAGTTTCTACCTTGCCTTAAGGACTAAGTAAGCCTTGTGTATTCAGCTATTTGATTGGGTGTGACAATATTCTAGCTCAACTACACACAAGAAATCCAAAAATGTGTAGCAAAGTGGGTGGAGTTTTGATAATCCATGTCGAAGATCTTCGCCGGTTGGCTCCTTTCTGGCTTCACAAAACAGAGGAAGTGCGGGCAGATAAAGCCCATTGGGCAACCAACATCACCGGTGATGTCTATGAGCAGGGGTGGATCAGTGAGATGTATGGATATGCTTTTGGTGCAGCTGAGGTAAACTAATTTCACAGAATGCCTAAATTTTTTAGTGACATGTCAACCGAGATATCTCTTGATACCTTTGTTAGTGAAGTGGTGTTTTTACTCTGCACAAGATGGGTCACTCGAGTTCCTTAAGTTTTTCTCTTCGCTAGTCACGGAACGGGTTTGTTCAAGTTTCAGTAATGGCTAACGGGCGGCTTTGTCAGATCAACTTGAAGCACAAACGACGTACCGACATCATGATGTACCCCGGCTACAAGCCCTTCACGCCACCGCGTCTGCTCCACTACGGCCTGAGATTCAATGTTGGCGACTGGCACTTCGACAAGGCAGAATGGCGAGACCACGACATGACCAACATCTGCTGGCAGTTGTTTCCTGCCCCGCCAGACCTGTCCACACTACCCAAGACACTCTCCCCCCGAGCAGTCGACCGTGACAATATCAGCATTGAATGCGTCCGGACTCTCAACGAAGCTCTTCGCTTGCACCATATCAGCCGGGGTTGCCGAGTGCCACCAGCACAGGAGCCGATCAAACCACCCAACACACCAGAAAATCCCATCAAAACGAAACTGCCGGATACAAAACAAAACAAAACAAAACACTCTGAGCATCCAGCTCTTACGGTTCAGGCTCAGCAAGCGCGACTCAAACACGTTGCCACAATGCTCAAAGGCAAGACGAAGGCATTGACAAGCACCCCAGCGCTCATCGGCCCCAAGCTATGGATGGTTGGACTGTGGGCGCTCCTTGTCTGCTGTTTCTTGCTCATTTTGTCCACTCTTTTCGCCGGGCACAAATCCTCTCTGCTGAGACAAAAGAAGCCCAGATGTCATCGACGCTCTCGATCAATCGCATCTGGTGACTTCACTAACCTCATTTCTGCAGACTTGGATCCTTAGATTACTTAACTGTAAAGGTAAATCCTCACAGACTGTCAACTACCATAAATGAGTAGGTGCTCGGCGTCGGTGTTCGTGTCGGTGTCGGTGAGTTCGAGTGGGCCAAGGTGTCAGTTTTGTCTCACAGACGAGGTTTTTTTGTTAGACAGTCTTGCACCGAAGGTTTTTGGATTTGGTGTGAAGGGGTGGATTTGAAGAGACCTGACAAGGTGGTATTTGTGGCTGTGAGGTGAGGTATAGTCTGATCCGTTGGAAACGAGGATCATACAGAATGGTGCATTTATTTGCTCTCCAAGGTTGAGAAGAAAGTCACTCAATTTCCAAGGGGGCTTCAAAAAAGAAAAATACAAAAAATGAAATAAAATCATACATTGCTTATTTGGGCATTTTAATCGATATTTTATTTTATTTTATTTTTCTTGTTCATCTGAATATATAAGTGCAGAGTTGGGTCCTAAATTGGAAGAGGGTTCTAAAGATTATAATAAAGATCTTCAATCATATATTGTGAGTAAAGGTTTCAGGTAAAGGTTTTAATATTAGTGCATTTCAAAATGATCCCAATTACGTGTTTAGTTACACTAATTGTAACATATAAGAACTCTTTAAGCTGAATACTTTCAAACTTTCAATGATTTTGGTCAAAAGGTACCTAGATACTTTAATAAAATTTGCAACTTTCTTATTTCTATATATATATATATATTTTTAAAAAGATCTTTTAAGATGATACATGTTTTGGAGAATCAATATTGAAAAATACATGTTTATGTTATAGTTTACTATTTTGTAAACCTTAAAAGATCATGTTTTTATGTATTTGATATCATTTTCATCTATTAGCAAATTATTTAAATTAGATTGATCATTTGCATTACTAACATAAGTGAATGTTCAAGAAATATTATATATATATATATATATATATTAGTGGAAACCTATGTTGTTGGCCACAAAAAAGTATAAAAGTTTAATTTGTCATTGCTAAGTAAAAAATTGGCCATTCCTAAAGAAATGTTGATTAAGAAAAAAGAAAAAAAAGAATATATACATAACAATGGAACCATTTATGTTTCTTCATTGTAATTAGCAAACATAATTTTTATTTATTACAAAAATAAAGTAGCTAAGTTAAAAAAAAACTTTTGAATAAACTATATTTATTATAGTATTTTTATGTTCATTATTTTTAGCTGATAGCACCCCTTGTAAGTTGCTCTTTATTATAATAGAGGAGAACTCAATGTTGTAATTCAAGATCCATATCCAAGTGCATATGTGTGTTTATACACACAAGTATCCCCATGCATTCCACCACCATTTGGTGATCTATAGTAGGTGATGTGTGCATCCTTCCATCCATACAAAGCTCCATCTATGGAACTCAAGCTCACAAACAGAAGCACAACTATAACAATATCAAACTTTAAGCTGTATATAATATTCATCTTCATGATCCGGGCATGCTTTGATAGTAGACAAATCAAAGAGCCACCAAAATTAACAAATGCATTGCAAATATTATCATTGTGAATTAGTCTTTAAGTATTAATGTACTTAAATTTAAATATCTATCAAAATTTTGTGGTGTGGTAGATCATCAAGAATATTATGAAATGAGAACCAATGTAAATATTTCAATCTATTAATTAGATAGATTTACAAATAAGTTGCAGTAGGCATGCCATTAAAAATTGAGTTTGTCATCTATAATCTAAAAGTAGATTTGATCCTATGTCTAGAGGCAGAGAACCAAGTTAGAAATTGGCTTTCTAAGAGGAGCTCATAAAGAAGATTGGATTTGTGTTAGATGCTTGGAGTTGAAAGAAAAAAAACTCTCAGCCTTAAATGAGAGCATAAAGTATGATGCTTCTAAGGGACTTCAAGCACCTTATACATTGCTTCTCTTCTACTTCTTCCCTTCGACAATAAACATTCAAATCAAATAGATTAAAGAGAAGAACAACTCTTAAATAGTTCTAAAATTATATTCTAGTAATATATTTCTTTCACTTGACATTAGCTCCATGATTTTTAAACTTCATTTGAGAGCCAATGCTGTTATATGTTCAACTTGTCTTTTATATCCTCAATATGTTTTGTAAGATTTGAAGGTCTAAGGCATTGTTGTTTCTTCATATACACATACACACATATATTTGCACATTTATATAAGAAATACTTGAACATTCAACTTGTTCAGTTTTAGAAGTAGGTACTAACTTTGCAATAATGTCAAATGATCCCAATTATAGAAAATACTTTTGATGAAAATAATAATGTTAAGGCCATGTAAAGTCCAATTTTGCTTTACTTTTGATGAAAAAAATGAGGCATGTAGAGAATCAATGAAGGTTTTTGTCTCTTCTTGTTATCTTGTGTATTTGTCCCTCTTTGAGCTATTTTATATAAGAGGTAATATATACATACATATTCTATAATCATAATCATTTTTTGATTTTATAATATTCTAAAATAAAATATATCATAATTTTAATTTTTTAATATGAAGAATAAAAGATAAAATAAATTATATTCCATAATTTTACAAACTTTTATAATAATAGATATAATAATTATATAAAAAATTTAAAATATAATTATAAAACTAAAGATTTTTTTTTTATTATATGGTTTTAAGAAACCAATTTACATTCATAAATAAAATATTATTTATTTTTTAATTTAAATATGATAAATAAAATAATATGGTATAAAAAAATAAAAATAAAAATAAAAAATTAAATTTTCATGAAATTACAAAGAAAAAAAATATAAATTTGACAAATACATAATGATAAAATAATTTAAACACAATAAAAATGTGATACATCAACATTTGTTATGAAGAATCTAGAAAGAAAAAAAAAATCAAAATCAAAATTAGATTCTTTAAACTATCTCTAAAAATATTCCTCCACCTAATATTCTTTATTAAGTACACACTAATAATAATCTAATAAACACTGATCAATGATTTTATTTACCAGTCCAACATATTTACAACACATAACATAAAGATTTGAGGTTTTAGTACTTCTAATCACGATGCAACACTGGACAATTTGTACGTAGTTAGAATTCATATATGCACTACCGAAGGACTTTGCCCTTGTAAATGAACTTTTTCTTTCCACGTTATGAAAAGAATTTTTAAAAATTGCCACCACTGTCATGGAATTATTGATTCAGGCCAAGTTTCAAACCTACATAATTGTTGTGAAAATATCATATCGTTGTTTTTCTACTTCTTTTGCTGCTGATAAGTTGGCAATCTCTTCATAAGAAAATGTGAGCCCGGGTTACCAGTACGGCATCGAAGCACCATCACGTTAGTCACTTAATGAGTACATGTAAATGCCCTACAAAGGATGCGGTAAATCATATGATATTTGCGTCTCATGTTAATATTGTTGCAGAAATTCTGATTCCAAACATATACATATATATATATATATATATATTACTTTATAGGTGTTGCTTTATTCTCCAGAATACCTTGTCAATATTGTCATGCAAATGCTTTTGAATCCATGACATGAATCTTTCAAATAACACATCTTGCCTCGTTACGCAATAGAAATACATGAGATGGTGTGTTATACATTGACTATATACAAGAAAACGCGTGTCGTTGTCGGAACGATTCCATCACGTCACAGAATGAACAAAACCAAAAAACAATAACACCACAGTACAGATCTAGTTTATCCTATTGATCCTAAATCCATCAACAGTACGGATGTTAACCAAATCCATGAAAAGCCATTGAGCCTTTGGGTGAAAAAACATTTACAATTGACAAAACCTACAACAATCAAATTGTGAAAACACTTGTGATGGTTGCTAGCGAGACACCTGAAGAGGGACCAAGAAAGAACGATGCCACAATCAATGCTACCATATCTAAATCCATCCGCAAGAGTACACAAAGAGTACTCAAAAAGTTTGTAAGCAAGATGCTAACTTGAAGAAAGTTAAGAGTTAAGGAAGAGAGTTGCCTAGTGACTGTAAACTCTAGTTTTGATTCACTTTTTTGATAAAAACAATGAGGCATTCAGCAGATCAGAGAGAGTTCTTGTCTCTTCTTGTTTATCCCTTGTATTTGTCCACCATGAGCTTTATATATATATATATATATTGATTAAGATTTGATGTATATGTATATATATATATATATATTGATTAAGGTTTGATGTATATATATATATATATATATATAGATTAAGGTTTGATGTATTTATATATATATATATATATATATATATTGATTAAGGTTTGATGTATTTATATATATACATTGATTAAGGTTTGATGTATATATATATATATATATATATATATATGTATTGATTAAGGTTTGATGTATATATATATATATATTGATTAAGGTTTGATGTATTCTTGAATTGAAAAATAATTTGATTTTTTTGGGTACATTATATAGTAGTTATGTCTTGTATTTTTATCTACTTAATATAAATAGAGCATAGTAGATATGCTTTCTATATATAATCTTTGTAGTAAAGGCTCTAAAGAAATATTAACGATTTCTTTTGTTGGAGAGAGTATATTCTCAAAAAATATTGAATAAAATTTTAAATATTTTTTTCTTTATTTATTGCATGAATTATGTAATAATTTATTCTCAATTACTTTGATATTTTTAATGACCTTGTTTGTAATAACAGACAAAAATTTGACTATAACCATGTCTTGGTATTTTAATAATCATGCCCTAATATTATTTAGTTAGAAATAAATAATAGAAAAAATTTTAAATGTTAATTTTATATAATTATATATTATTGATTAGTTTGAGTGATTTATTTTTATTTTTTTGTATTAAAAAAATCAATTACAAATATAAAAATCATAATTTTTTTATTAAAAAGGTATGTAAATTATTTTAAATATATTAATGAAATTTGAATTTATATTGATTATAAGCTATTTATTTTTTATTTATTCAAAAGTTACCTAAAATATTCACTTTTACATGATGCTTGGTTTTGTAATTTAAAATAGTAGTGTTGAAAATATTTTTATTATTATTCACTAGATATAAGCCATCTTTGAACACATATGTGGCCACAATCTTATACATGCTGTTTGAAGAAATTATATGCATTAATTATAAAATAAAATAAAAATTAATTAATATTTTTTTAAATAATAAATAATAATAAAATTTCAAAATATGAATATATCAAATTGATTTAGGAGATTTAATATCAATTTTGGTTTTTTTCAATCCAATAGGTTAAGATATCACTATTCTTTGGATAAAAAAAACAATTACATATTAGAAACATCTTCATTACCTCCATGAATTAAATTGAATAGAAATAAATAAATAAATGTTAATACTATATTTCTTACAGAAAATTATAAAAGC